AATCCATTTAATGGAGAAGTAAGAACCTTGTAAATACTTATTGTAAACCTTACTATTATTTTAATAAATAAAAAAAACTTTTTTTAAGTACCATGCTTGTTTTATTTTCACATAAATTAGTTATTTTCATACAAATATTAAAATAGACGTCGCTTAACATCACGTACTGGCGTCGGATGGTAGGCGAAGGTTGAATGAGATCGTTTGTGTGATGGCACTGGATGATCGGTGTAAGTTGGGTAAGGTTGTGGTGGTGATATCGTCCTGAATTGGTAGAAAAAATCAGGCCCATCGTTTACGTCGCACGCCTGCGGGTTGCGACCCTCGTCAGATCCGTCAATATGATATAGTGCCTGGAAAAAATAAATATAAAATAAATATTGTGTTTTTATTTTTAAAACTATGTTTATATAAATTACCTTAGCTAAAATATCATCCTTAGGCTGATTAAATCCATCACGTGCAGATGAATCGTCGTGCATGCTTAATATATTGCTGACCGGCGAATAGCTTGACGACGTTGGTGTATCTATTTCACCATTCTGTAACTAAAATAAAAAAGTTGTATTAAATATTTTTTTTACATGTACTACTGTATTTATGAATTACCTCATGTGTCAACTGTTGTAACACAGTTTCAGCTAGTTGTACGGTTGCATACATTTGTATTTGACCGATCATGTTTGGGTAAATTTTCTCCGTTCTATCGTCTTGTATTTTTTTAACGAATATTAACATATCTTCTAAATTTTTCGGTGGTGATTTAAGGCAAGCAGATTTCTCATGTAGATACATCGCAAAATCGTCAAACTGTCTTTTAATTACTGGAGCAGTGGTTACTTCTTTCCGTACAATACTTTCGAAAATACTACATTCAAGATATTGAAGCTGCATAAAGTCCTCCCGATTTAACAGTACTCTGCACCCGTCCTGAGTTTTTGACTCTATTACCAGCACGTTTTCTCCACAATACACCATACTGGATATTTTATGAAATTCAGTCTCAAGAAATATGATGCGCTTGTACTTCTGGACCGTATCTAATATAAATGATAAGATATGTCCCATCATAGAGAATATACGTCTCAGGAAATCCGGCGATATTTTAACATGGCGCGATGGTGTTAATAAATGAACGGTGACTTGAAAATTATCAGTAGGATCGATACCGACAAGTATAAATTTGCGAGCTGCAAAGTTGATCGTGTAGCTTGTGGTTTCGATGAGTTCAGCCGGTGGTGATGGTGGTACATACGTAAAGGTCTTTTTCTTGTATAATGCAGCGTTGTCTTCGATTGAACCAGCCATGTTTTTAAAAATTGTTTATTATAAAAATAATAAAGACTTGGAAAAATTTTAAACACTGAACCACTATTATAAAGACTTGGATAAACGCGGAGGAGAATCGTACATGTGTACACTTGAAGACAGACTGACTGAATGCCGACTCTTGCGGAGCCTATAAGTGTCCGTTTCACATTCACGTGCAGTAGATATTTCTCATATTCAATAATATAGGTTTATTTAGTGAATTTGAACGTTTCAAAAAAACCTACACCATACATCAAATAGTGATATACAGTATATATTTCTGATATTTAACAATTTATGTTTATTTCGTGAATTTCGACATTTTTGACATTTTTAAAAATACCTACACCGTAGTAACAATAGTGGTATACGGTATATATTTTTGATATTTAACGATTTACGTTTATTTCGTGAATTTCGATAAAATCGTAATAATCTACACTGTAGTTACAATTACGTTATGTTGTAGATATTTCTGGTGGCGGTGACAGCTGCTGATAATTTGACGGTTGTTGATAATCGTTATCACTATTAGGTATACGTCTCGCGGCACCTGTCCAACAATCGTTATCAGTGGTAAGTAGTGGTTACTGATTAGGTTACTGATAAGGCCAAAATATACTTCGCGCACGTGGCCGATAACTGTTATCAGTGGTAAGTAGTGGTTACTGATAAGGAGTGGTTACTGATAAGGAGTGGTTACTGATAAGGTCAATATATATCTCGCGCACGTGGCCGATAAGCGAGGGTGTGGAGGGAGTGGAGGGTGTGGAGGGAGTGGAGGGTGTGGAGGGAGTGGAGGGTGTGGAGGGAGTGGAGTGCAGCGGTGCAGCGGTGCAGCGGTCAGAACCCCCCAAATCATACTACTTAAACGCATTAGAACGCTGGGGGGCACAGGGTTGGACGACTCCAGTCTACCACCAACCCTGTCGAACGCCGTAATCAAGATTTAAAAAAAGGTTTGCGCGCACAACTAGTCGACGGCAAACATAAATCTTGGGACACAAAACTACCCTCAATTCTTTTTTCGATACGGAACAGGTGCAACGAACAGACATGCTACCCACCCGCGGTCCTTGTCCTAGGCAGGGAATGCAAGAGACCCGGGGATTGGGCGCTATCTAAAATTGCACCGGTAAATATCAAAAAATCACAGGAAGAGAGGGTAGAGCGGGAAAAACGCATTATAGGCAAAAAGGTAGTGGTAAAGCCGAGCACGAACACCGGCACACCGGTGAAGTTCGGCAAGGGCGACGTAGTCTACTACAAAGCACACCACCTATCTAAGGCACATAAAGATTTTCATGCCGGGTTCGCACCAAAGTGGTGGGGACCGGTAAGGCTAGCGAAGCAGGTCGGTAAAGGAGTCTTTCTAACCGACCAACAACCGCCGCGGAAAATACATGTGTCTTGTCTAAAACGCGCACCCACAGGTCAAAATAAATAAACATTTGTCTGTACTAACCACCATTTACAGACAATATGGCCGACCGACAGCAGCAGGAGAAGTGGCAGCAGGTGGCCACACTGATCCAGCAGCTGGGGCTGGTGTCCGGAGGTCAGGACGAGCCGCGTACCGCCGCCCAGGTCGCAAGGATGTCGACCCGCCAGCTCCTCCAGGACCCAGTGCGGGCGGCCATCTACCAGCGGGGCTGGGCGGACCGCACAGCGGACATCGAGCGGAGGCTGCGTCCGCGCGGAACGACCTCGACGCCAAGCAGCCGCACCTCGTCGTTGACAAGGCCACCACCACCGGGAACCACCCCTACCCCCGTGGCACCCGCACCCGTAACACCTGCGGAGCCGACAACGGTACCCGGGACAACGGGGGTACCCCCCGTACCGACGGTGAAGGTTAAAACGGAGGCGCAGCGGGCACGGAACAAAAAGAAGTTCCAGCAACTGAAGGCGAAGAGGATGGCCAGGGAAAGCAAGGCAAGCCAACAACATCGGCTTGACAAGCAACCTGCACCAGCCTCGGACCCGGAAGGGGCCAGCACGCTCCCGTTCGACCCAACACCGTCGGCAGCGATGGAGGTAGACCCTCCGGCGACCAAGGACGAAAAATCCAAGGAGCCGGAGCAATCTACCAGCCAGGCACCGCCAAACCAATCAGAGCCCTCGGCCGAGATAACCGAGGAAGATTGGTTGGGGACGTTCGAGGGGCTACCGGAGTTGGGGTACTCTCACACGTACTACACTCCTGTAGGGTCCCCGGACCACCACTAAATACACCCACGGGCGTGGGCAAGTCTACCTCAAGCTTAAGCCAGAGGTAGTACAAGCCACCCCGTCCAAATGACTACACGCCGACACTGGTACAAGTGAACCCGTGTGGCGGTTTGGCGGGGGAGTATGACGCGGTACGCAGCGGCCACCAGTACAAAGTACAGGTACCGCAGCGACCCGTCTTCACTTTTGTCAACCACCACCACGGACTACAGCGCGACAGCACCAACTCTCCCACCACGCCTAAAAGGCACAAGGTGGGACGGGAAGGCAAGTCGCGCAAAACGAGTACTGGCCGCCGGCGGCGTCTCTCTCGTACGTCAACCGTCCATACGGCAACACACACGTTACTATAACAGCGTACTTTACCATTGTGAAATAAAATAACCATTTGTATTACCGACAAATAAACGTCCCCCCGTGGACTTCTACGAATACTCCGGTGTTACATTATATTTTACCTTAATCTCGTGAGTGTCACCTCAATCCACACCACTACAACCACCAGCAAACTTGCGACCGTACTACCGCGACACACAGCACCGCCGTAGTCCGCGTCAACGTTGTAGTTGAATATAGAGGATCAACGAGTCAACTCAGAATCAAGTGTTCAACTGCCACTTAATAATGAAAGACGTTTCCAAGAACATTGGAAAAAACTATACAAATGGATTATATATGACAATATTAAACATAAAGTATTTTGTTCTGTATGTAAAAAAGCAGTAGAAAATTATATTGTTTTACCAACTATAACTGTGAAAGACAAAACTGCAAAAGATGCATTTGTTGACAGTGGTTTTTCTGGATGGAGAAAAGCATTAGAACGATTTAAAATACACGAAGGTTAATTTTTAATATTTTAATAACAAAATAAATTGTTTGATGATTATAATGTTAATTGTTATGCATAATGTTATTAAAAATGCTTGATCTTATACTAGTTATACATGTGAATATGTGTTTTGTTATTGTTTATATTATTTGTAATTATGTTTTATATGTTTTAAAAAAAAAGTGTACATTTGGAAATTACATGAGTTGACTGCCATTTACTCGACTGTTAATATAACTACATCTTAGATAAAAAATGTTGGTAATCCATTTCCATCGGTTTCCATTTATGTACTATTATATAATAATTATTTATATTTATCGTTATCTGAGTTGCATGTTTTTATGTTATTGCTTGTCATTTAAATGTTCAGTAACTATTTTAACTATGAATGTATTTATTGTTGATATGTTTATTTATTAATAATAAAATAATGTTTATAATATTATTATACTTATTTATAGGCAGTACATTTCATCGTACAAATCTTCATGCCAACTTAACTGCTGAAAAAGATGTAAATATTATTAATAATTTGAGTATAGCAAAATTAAAGGAAATGAAACAATCTAGAACTGCTCTACTTAAAATTATAAGTTCATAGTTATACCTCACTAGACAGGGGATGGCTTTACGGGGTCATACAGATGACAATTCAAATTTTTATCAATTATTAAAACTACGATCGAATGATTCAAAAGAATTGGAAGGGTGGCTCATACGTACAAAATGTAAATGGATATCACATGAAGTGCAAAATGAGATCTTAAGTTTATTATCACAGTACGTCCAAACTTATTTAATTAACCAAATTAAAAGTGCGAAGTACTTTTCAATTATTATAAATGAAACAACTGATAATACTTGCACAGAACAAGTGTCGATTTGTTTTCGTATAGTTGATGACAATTTCAATATATCTGAACTATTTTTGGGGTTTTTTGATACTGAATATACTAATTCTATAGCGTTGTTTACTTTAATAACTAATGTTTTAACCAAATTTGGACTAGCAATATCCGACTGCAGAGGTCAGTGTTATGGCGCTGCAAATGTAAGTGGCCATATAAGTGGCCTCCAAAAACGAATTGTTGAATTAGAAAACCGAGATATTTATGTCCATTGTGTAGCACATACACTAAATCTTGTGGTTCAAGATGCCATGTTAAAAATTGATAAATCACGAGATTTTCTATCAATGATCAAATCAATCATAGTGTTTGTACGTAGTTCTCCTAAAAGACAGGCAATATTTAATACTCTTCAAGCTGAACAAGAACAAGACATAATTAATTGCAAAACTCTTCGTCCATTTTGTCCAACAAGGGGGTGTATGAGAATTAAATCTCTTAAAACGTTGTATGATAATTATGCAGTATTAATAGAATTTCTTCATAATATTTCAAAGGAAAAAAATGAAAATGGGGCAAAAGCCAGTGGTTATGGTAAACAATTACTTAGTTTTGACTTTTTGTTTTATACAAAAGTTATGATTATTATTTTTGAAAGGGTTGAAATCCTAAATGCAGAACTTCAAAGAATATCTTTAAGTTTTCAAGAAGCACAATTAAAAATTGAAAACATCATGATATCTATTCAACAACTAAGAGATACTGGATTTGATGACTTATGGGAACAAGTTTTAGTAAAATCTAGTGAGCTAAAACTGAAAAAGCCAAATGAACAGAGAATAAAAAAAACTCCTAAGAAATTACTTCAAGGTAATAGTGAAGGGCATACATTTTCATCAGTTAGAGAAAAATACAAAACTTCTAGATGTTACATTATCATCATTAAATGACCGATTTCACAAAAATGTAATTAATCATTTATGCGAACTTGAAAAATGTATAATTGGTAAAGAAAAATTGGTAACATAAGTTAGTTCCTTTTATGGGATTGATTTCGATCAAGAAAAACTCCAGTTGCATAGAGATATGTTTCTAGATATTGTAAAATCAAGAAAAATTAGTATAAACAGTACACAAGATGCCATAGATGTATTTAAATCGGATAATTCGTTAGGTATGTTAACAGAGTTTAATAAACTTCTAAAAATTATTTTGACTGTTCCAGTATCGTCTTGTACTGCGGAAAGATCTTTTTCAGCACTACGAAGACTAAAAACTTTTTTAAGGTCTACAATGACACAAAATCGTCTAAACGATATTGCTTTATTGCATGTTCATCGTAATGAAGATATAGATACTGAGCAAATAGCTAACTCTTTTATAAATTCAAGTAAAATACGTCAAAACACATTTTTTTTGTAAATAATCAAATTACATTAATTTTTTTGTTTTACTTATTATTATTTATAAATAAACTCAAATTGGTACACATTTATTTTGTTGTATGGTTATTAATTATTATAATATTTTATAATCAATGATGAAATTGCATTTTTCAGTGTACTACATTGTTAATATTATTATATTGTATATTTGTATTATTTAATATTTTAATATTTATATATACTATTAAAATCCATAAGAAAATGCAAACATTTTTAGTTAAGTAGTAAAATAATGACACCAATAAGCGCAATTTGGAGAGCCAAAATTAAAATTTTAGAAAGTTGAATTGCGCATTGATATCAAGGCCGGGCACTCATTAAGTTTTTTAAACTCTGGCGCCTATGAACGTATACATTATCCACCTTAAATATATTGTATTATCCAATTAATTTATACATTATCCGGTGTGCTGTGGATAAAGTATTCGTATTACTGTAGGTAATCGTAAACTGATAACGTCGGTACAACATGACGATGAATTAAGATATACTAAGATTTAAGATTATTAAGATATCTTAATTCGTGAACATGACCAAAGCATCAAACACTTAAAATTGTTCAATTACAGGATTTCTTGCTAGTAGCAAAAACCAAATTATACTAATCCAAAAAAAAATTATTTATTATTATTACTATTAAACTATTAACTATTATTACTATTAAACTATTAATTATATATTTGAACAACTTCTACTTCTGGTAGTTTGACTCGAACTGTGTCGCCAACATTGCATGGTGGGAATTTGTTATTTTATCAAAGTACTTTATTATTATTTTATCAAAGTACTTTGCCCACTCAGTCGTAGATAATGTGTAAAATATCTGAGTACCTAATGTACGAAATAAACGTTTTATAAATAGTATTTTTACTTTATCCAATATGTACAGATAGTGTTCACCTGGGCGATTGTAAACTCCAACAAAATATCGGTCAAGATAAAAAGGTAATAATAGGTCTATGGTAAACTCCGCCAGTTTTTTTTTTTACCTGGTCAGTGCGACAGTACTCACATTGCCACGTGCCTTCTCACATTAAATACGTTTACCTACATCTATTGTGATGATATATTATGTCAAAATTGATAAAATATTGTCAAGGTTAGATCGATTCAAATTATTAATAATTTTATCTTCAAATTATCTGAAATCAGGATTTCCAATGATGATATCGGCAGTAAATAAGGTATACGTAAAGACGTATACTTTGACGAACATAATCATTCGTAGTCTGCGTGTTTCCGTACTTCTGATATTTGTATATGTCCGAACGAAATATGTCGCAAGAAAATAATAGTATAAAATTAATTACTGGCCATTGGCCAACGAGGCAATTTGTTGGTTGTATTTAAAAATTATAAGTATAATAAAAATATAAAATACGCGTCTGGTGAAATAAAATGGAGGTGCAATAACAAAAATTGTAATGCATTTATAAAAACTGTTGGAGCTGAGCAGCATAATATTGCTTAAAATTTGCAAATTGCAAATTTAAATCGAACAACAAATGCCTGTGAATCCTTTCATAGTCATCTGAGAAATTCATTTTATAAAAGTCATCCGAATGTTCACATTTTTAGTAAAGTTCTTATCGAATTTCAAACCCAAACTTATATTAAACTAAAATAAATGGCATGTCTCAAGTAAATCAGCTAAAAAATTCGAAATCAAAAAAAAAATGACAGTATTACAGGATGCTATGAATAGGTATACTAATAAAGAAATACAAGACTTAAAATATTTGCAAATTGTATCACATCATTATAATAGTTTTCATACATGACAATATTTATAACGATTATTTATTAATTATTTATTATATTTTATTATATTATGTGGACGATTATTTATTTATTATTTTTTGACTATGATTTGTGTATATTTAATGTTGACAATTATTTATTATTATTATGAAAAATATGATTTTGGATTATTTATTATGATTTTTTATACTATAATTTAAATATTGATATGATATTATATGATATTATATTATAATTTTTTTTTAATAATACATCAGATTAATTTTATACTACTATTTGATTTTCTTCACTGGCGGAGTTTACATGCGCCCGTTCACCTCACCCGGATAATGTGAACACTAACCGTATTTTGTGCTTTACCCGTAACATATACATTAATGATTTTCGACTTTTTCTCATCCCTAATTCATTAAAAATTGAAATAGGATATGGTGCTAACTCATTTTATAAATATTCTAGTTCTTCATCACTTTTTTTTGTGACTGAAATACGTTGAAATAATAATAGTGGATCAATAGGAGTTACTTCTCCATTAACTTTAATTGAGGAATTTAAGCTGGCTAGCGTCAAAACACGTCTACTTCTTTTTAGTGATACATCACTGAAATGTTTGCCTACTATAGAGTCGATTGCGACTCTACCAATTTCAATGGCCTCATGACAATTAATAGAAGCATCGCCAATTACTCCACTAAATATAGACATAATTACTTTGCATTCCGGAAATGGATAGTAAGAAGATAGCCAATTGGTCAGTTTTACGATGTCGGAATTATCCCTCTTCATTCTTGCACTTCTTAGTTCAACGTGTTGCTCTGAAAAAACCATACTTAAACCACAGAAATCCTCAAGACTTTGACATACTTCATTGACTGCACTCATATTTTGTATCCACTTCAAAATTACACTGTCACTTATGCCACGTCCATGAGTTAACCCACCTGAACTTTTCATCAATCGCATAAGTGTCTGCTCTATAGTCATATCAGACCACACAACCGACCAAAACTTATCAGTTCGTTTAATGGAAAAATATCATTTACTTGTGAATTTTTGAAATTCTTCAGTTCCCATTTTGGATTCTAACTTGTACATATCTTGAAAATATATATGTGAAGCTTTAGCGTAAGTAAAATGTCCACTAGCATGAAAATATGGAATCATCTTTTGAACACACTGTAAATTAAGTTTCCAATCCCCTTTCGTTCAGCCATTACAAAATGTATCACTAGAGTTACCATATTAAAATATTTAACCCATAACTTTGAAGTTGAACCTCTTTTTTCGAGATTTTTTAGGTAATCATTAAAGCGAGTGTGTAAAATTGTCATGTCTACAACAGTTTGACCATATTTTGGGGGATCATTTTGAAAATTATTTAAACTGTTTTCAATATTATGGTAATCTTCAGTATTTAAATTGAGTTCTTTGAAAATAAGTTTACCCAGTACTAATTGAACTAATACACGTCCCCTAAAACTTCTCGAATATAACATTTTATCAACAGAAACGGGAGCATAAATTGTGCTGAGTAAATCTTTTAGTCCACTCCCAGCCATTAAAAAACCAATGCATCCAAGAAAAGACATAAGTAAGTAAAAGCCTCCTAAGCGAACAGTAATATTAGAAATATTTGTATTTTGTTCAGAACTTGCAACTATATCACGCGCTTTAATATAAAGAGTGGTTGATCGAATGTAACAAAACACGATTTTTGGTTAAACTCAGAAATATCTTTTAATTCCAAAACAGAGTATATATTATTGTAATTACTAGGTGATTGATAAACAAATGGTAAAAACAATACTTGAGATTTTTTATAAGATAAGTTTTGTGTTATTCTATCCATGAAACTACTCCAATTAGGAATATTAATTAATGTCAAGTGTTTACCATACATCCACATTAAATCCCAGTTTTCTGTTAATGAATTATAATTACTAATGGTTCCTAGTCTTGATAAATCTTCTAGAATAATTTTTGTAAAACCCATTTTTCCTTCTTTCTCAAATGTTTGAAATGCAATTTGATGTATAGTAACTACTTTACTTGATGGTATAATTGATTTTAATCGATTTATCGGACCACCCGATTTTACAAACTGTTTTAGTGTAATACAACGTATACCACCCATAGAATGAAATGTATTCAAGCCATCTAATGTATTAGTATTATGATCGGCATTGTCAAAAACATATTGACAAAATGCCCCAGAAATAAAAGTTGGCTATGGGCTAACTAAGACAGACGATTCAAAAATCATTACTTCATTGTATGTTGCACAAAGTCCCATACTCGACATCATAAGCGCAACTAGCCAACGCTAAGCCCCCCCCCCCAAAAAAAAAAAAAATTCTAATAGCCCCCCAAAATAAATTATTTAATTGTTTTCTAATATATTAATAAACCTTTAAAAATTCAGCTGTATTTCCCTTTTTTTTTTTTAGTTTTTATAGTTTTAATTATTTTATATTGCCTACCTTTCTATAAATCGTGGCTAATATATCAGAGTCCGATATTACTCTTATTTTCTCTTTTCTCTTTGATACACGTTTTTATCGTTCGTATTATGTACGCACTGATTAATTGGCGATTAAAAGTGATAATCTGTTACGGGTACACACAGATTTCTATATATAGAACTATATTATATTAGTATAGATATCTGTGCGGGTAGTGGGTACACTGTGTTATTTTTCCAGTTCCCCGTTACAGATCCATTCCCCGCCGGTCTAAAAATCGAT